AAGACAGCATGCAGCCGAACACGAACCGCGTGCTACACAAGACACAACACACGCAGACAGAAGAGCACATGGCCCGAGCGAACTCGAGACCGCATGCTCCCACAACAAGACAGAACATGGAGTGCGAGTGTCCGGACCCCGACACGAAACCAAAACTCAACAAGACATGAGTGCCGGGATCTGAACACCACGCTCCAACATGAAACAGGGCACGCAGACGAGAGCGCACGGCTCGAGCACTCTCGAAGCCGCACGCTCACATGAAAACAACGACACGACCGGAGTGTCAGTGACACCTAGTTATAATAAGTTAGTGCCAGTTATTGTAATTACTACAACAAATACATAGTATGTACATGCAGGAGAGGACTGGGTTACACTTTATTTTAAGGTGTCTTTGTTACAGTGTAACTATGCATTTAAGTACTGAGTAATATTAATTAACTACATGTACTTATTATATAGTTAGGGTTAGAATTTGGGTTTGGCTTAGGGTTACTTGCATGTAATTATGCATAATTAATTGTTATTATATTAGAAAATACATGTAACGTGTAATACAGACACCTTAAAATAAAGTGTTACCGAGGACTGTAAAATAAAATGCTACTACATTTTCTTAGGGTCACTCCATTTGACCTAAACAAAGCATGTATTTTCATAAAATGTGACATTATTAAAGACATTATTAAATTACCTTGACCTTGAAACACAGTCATGAGGGTCCAAAGAAGTGGTTATACTGGATATACCACACTGACTTTGTTTGCAAAAACTAAAATAAAAAGAAATAAAATTTTTATTTGCTTTTTATTTATTTATTTATATATATATTTATTTATTTATTTTGTATTCAGTAATACAAAATTGTGCCAAAATACTTATGGGAAAAAAGTCTGCCTTTCATTGAAACATTTTTGTAATGCAATTTTTGCATTCATATTTACTTCAATAGCAAAGAAAGAAAGAAGAAGAAGAAGAAAAAAACAGGATAGTGTTTCTATGACTTTCTAAAATTGGAAAAAATATATATATTATCAAGAGACTGATTACGATGGTCAGAAGAGAGAAACATCAAATTTCCACTTATGCAGCAACCAAAATCATGTTCTTTATAAAAGAGGAGTATCTCACTCAATTTTTGAATAAATACCATTTTTAATTTATATTTGCATAATAAGTTCTGGCACCCTTCACACGAAGCAGCGCTCTTCTTGTGCTTCATGGCATTTAAATGAAGCTTACAAGTTCAGTTTTTTATCTATATATATCACTAAACACTTGGGTTTCACTAAACGCTATCACTAGCAAACAAGTATAGAGCAGGATTAGTGAGCATCCGCGGTGTCCATCCTCCTAGGTGACTAGAACACTCCTGGTGGCATCAAAAAGATACACAACGCCAAGCAGCTGTTAGGGAAATCTGAACACAGGTGAGGATGATGCTCGCCCCAGACCGCAGGGCTGACGGCTTCCAGTATCACTGCATTACGGAGGTCAAAAGATCATCTCCACTAGCAACAAAGGATTGAGGATTAGTTTAGTAACACAGGAGGCTCTTTTCGTCTATGGTGAATGCAAATTATACAAACAAAAGCGTTCGGGAGGTGATGGTCTGTCAGATTAGTGTGTCTGGACGCACACTTTTGTTGCCGAGAATGAATCGCTCTGCTTTTCTGTGGAGCAGATGGTATTGTGACATTTCACAGTTACTATTAAAAATGCATAATAGATTCTTTATAGGCACTCTTAAGCTGCAAACATTTTTTGGGAATAGTTTGGAGTAGTTCAGACTACCTTGTTTTCTTTCAAAGCGACTTTTGACTTAAAGGTATGATCCAGTAGGACCAAAAGAGGGCAGCATAGTTATGTTTGATACAAATGGAAGATTGGTCACCATATTCAGAAGATAGAGCCAAAACCATTTGAAAATTTTGAAGAACATTTTTTAGATTTATTTAACAATATAATAATAAAATAATAAATTCAATTAATGTAACAATGATTGGAATTTTTTTTATTATGATTTCATTATGAATCAGAAGGAGATTTCAAACACATTCACTATAGCCAGGGAAACTGGGAAAAACAGGGAAACAAGAAAAAATGAATTTTAGATATTTAATCTTTTTTAATACGCACATGGTCATGGTTGACAGATCTCCCCAATGTCTTTTATCTTATTTATTTATTTAGAAGTCTATTTTGTGTGTGTTTTTTTTCCTGTGGGAGCTGGACTGATGCTAATGTTATTACAAAGAACATATATTTGTGTTTATAGCTGCAGTCATGTTTAATCATATCAAATAATATATTTATGTACAGTATTTATGTGAATATTCCTCAGCCGACTAAAACTATGATGATAGAAAATAGTCACAATAACTTTTAATTTATTTTGTGTATTTGTGAACTGTGAAATTGCAGAGTAGATATCTATTTTTACTTGTCAGATGGCTAAAATCTATTGTCCTTTGTACTGATAATTTATAGGTGAAACTGCAAATAGATTTGATTACCAAACAGGCAGTCAAATATCATATGACTATTAATATTCTGTTGCATTATTTGTCTATTTTGAAACATGTTTCATCATCCACATTGCATCAGTATTAAATTTGTGAGTCTGCTGTACCGAGTACTTTAATTTATTAGTCTGCTTATTAAAAACCTAATGACCTATATACCAAGGGTCTATCGATTTATATCCTCATGCAATACATTATATTTAAAACTTGTCATTTTAAAAAGTTATTGTTACATTACACGTGGAGCGGCACAAAAAACTTAAAGCAGAGGTAGAGTAGAAGCTATATTTACACACAATGGAAACTATATTTACACACAAATGAGATTTCTTTAAAGTCTCAATGCCAGCAATTGTCTCATTTGTGTCTATTTTTTTAGTATATTATTTCTTCTTTTTAGTTAACTTAGTTAACATGAAGTCTTTCTATATATTCCCATTGGACAAAACACTTCAGATATCACAGGCTGTGAAAAGTATGATCTACATGACACCAGGAATACGACACATTAAAAAGACTCTTACAGGCCCATTTTGTGTCAAATTAAATATGGAGTCAACTTTGAAGCGAATAGCTATTAACTATAACCAAAGACTGACATCAAAAATCAGAGACCTCAAAATCATTCAAGCATTTCTCATTAAATTAATTCAAAACAAATTACTAGAGCTATGATTTCTCTTTTTATAGCTATGTATTCTAACTGTATGAAACAATTGTCTCATTTGTGTATTACTGGTATATTATTTCTTCTTTTTAGGAATTTTAATCAGCTTAATGACAGCCCTTTGCCCTTTCTGCAGATTTCCTTTGAACAAAGCACGTCAGATATCACAGGCTGCGAAAAGTAAAAATGACCTAATGAACTACATGACAGCAGGCCTACGAACAGACTCTCACAGGCCCATTTTGCTTCAAAATAAATATGGAGTCAGCTTTGGCCGTGTCTACACTGTATGCGATGCGACCATAGACTGTATAAAAACATGGACGTAGTGTCCATGACGTCACCCGTAGGTTTCTGAAGAGCGTTTTTGAAGCTCAAAGGTGGCGGAGTGGGCCATCGCCATCTTGGCAGCGCGTCACTCCCGGATGATCGAAAATGGGCAAAGAGGCGGGAGCTGGTTGCTGAAACCACGCCCACCTAGCTCAACGGTGGGGACAGCAGCGGCAATCCACCTGTCACTCAAGTGGCCACGCCCTTAATTATGCAGAACTTTAAGGCTTAATATAATTTAAACAGATGACTTATAAAAAAATTCGCCCCCCTCACAGTTGTCATGAAGGGCAAAATTAGCTATATAAACCAAAATCATTTTTTGAACCAGGCTGTAAACATGTTTTTTTCTGCTGTAAAGTTGGGCATTTTAACATGGGGAGTCTATGGGACTGACTCACTATTGGAGGCCATCAACTGGCCTCTAGCGGCCAGTTGATGAATTGCAGTTTTAGTCACTTCCGTGTTGGTTTCACGAGAGAGACCGGAAGGTTGCCGCTTGGATGCGACACGACAAAATACTATAGAGCCCATTATAGTCAGTGATGCTGTCTACACCGGATACAGCGCGGCATGACGCGACACGACAAATCCCCGCCAGTAAACTGATGCCTTGTTCTATTTATGACGTACTGAAAAAACCCTATCGTCGATGTATCTCGTACCTCTAGCACATGTGAACTGGTCAGCAGCGAGAGTCCATCCAGACGGACAGGCACAGGAGTAGAACCTGGGGCCGATCGCTGACAGGAGGCAGATATGAGTGCAGGGGCTCGAACGGGGGTCACAGGGGTTATAACCTGCAGGAAGAACACATCGACGCTTTGAAGTCAACACGAAGGACTATGTTTAATTTTTATGTTTATGGTTTTATGCTGTACAGTTCACTGGTGCATGTTATTCTAAAGGATTTTATTCTTAGATCGACATACAAAAAGGTAAAATATTATGCTTATATTGTAATCATTATGAACACAAGCAATATATTTTGATAATGTTCTTTACATGTGTTTTACTATGTTAGTCAACACATCAAAATAAGTGTACTCTCCAGGTAGCAGCTAGTTTATCTGGCTTTATTTCAGGTTTGTGAACAGCGTTGTACCTGCAGGCTGTCTGGCTGGATGAAGTGCCACCAGACCCATGGGCTGGGGCAGATTATACAGCATCACCGTCTGGTTCTGTCCGTGCCACTTGTTGGCCCGGATCACACGGTTGACGTATCTGTCGGTCCAATAGACAAAATCCTCAAAAATGGTAATTGCGTGGGGATGTTGCAGTACCTTTTCATTGAGAAACAAGAGGTGTTTTATTCACATGGTAAACAAGCACTCAAGTTTATTTTGCATTAGCAAACACTGTAAATACATTTAAACAGAGACAAAAATGCAAGGGTTTGCAAAAGTGATGCTCTATCATGTGACCAAAAGTTGAGAAGATTTTAATGTAGACCAATAAGTAATTAAGAAAGGCGGTTCCAGTTGTGTTTTCACATTATTTAAAAGTCCCCAAGTTCTTTCCAGAAATTAAAAATGCATCGTACGCACTCCATTAAATGCCTTATGCATCTGCGTTCACATACTTGCAACTACATATTGAGCTTAATATTCAAACAACCAGTCTCAACAAACACTGTAAATCATTGCTGGGTTCAAATCCCAAATATTCCGTTTTTAATATTCATATTTGCTTACACTACACTTCTTCCCTGGTATTGTTGTCTTGTTATCAACTACAAATATCTAAACATTCTTAAATCAACTTCTGATGAAAATGACAAGATAAGAAGTCTGAAAATGTATCAAAATGAAGTGGGTTTATGATTAAAACAAGAAAAATAAAAACATAATTTAATGGGAAATAAGTCAAATTTTCTTACTCCGCTGGCAGATATTTTGTCTTGTTTTCAGCAAAAACTCAACTTAATTTTGATACATTTTTCAGAAAACAAGATTTCTTTCTAATCTTATTTTCTAGCATTTTTAAGTAAATGCTTCTTGATTTAAGAAAGTTTATACTGGAAAACAAGACAAAAATCCTGAGGAAGAACATCATTTTACAGTCTGCAATGCTACAGTATCACCCTTGTCATATTCATAAACATAAATGAGTACATAAAACAAAAGGTCTCACCAAATCACTGGCCAACACTTGTTTTCGGTTCTTTCCATCATAATCACAGTAGTCGATAAAGTCTAGGTAAGCGTCAGCAAAGTAAAGCAGGTTGTTGGGGTAGTCAATAGTTAAGCCATTGGGCCAATAAAGTTTGTTGCTGATGATCGTGGTCCTTAATTTCCCATCCATGCTGGCTCTCTCGATACGAGGATTTCTGCCCCAGTCCGTCCAAAACATCAGGTGTGTGCTGAAGTACATAAAAAAGGGATTTTGTTTTCAGCCACTGGTCATTGAAATGAATTTTTATATACTTGTTATTTGGTCACTGGTCTTACTTGTTTCTAGGGTCCACTACCAGACCTCTTGGATTGGTCACGTTTTCACTAATCAGCACCGTTCTGTGAGACCCATCCAGTTTTGCCACTTCTATGGTCTCCAAAATATAGTCCGTCCAGTATAGGTTTCTGCCAACCCAGTCTACGGCGAGGCTCTCTGTGACAGTCACTCCACTGTCAAAGATCTGCCGGGAAGAGGAAGGATATTTTTAGGGTTAAATGTTGCTCATGTTGACTGTGAGGGTGCTGGAGTGGTGTTCGTGTCACTCACCACGGTGCGATCAGTCCCATTTTTGTGAGCGCTCCATATTCTGTCCTGGGTGGTGTCAGACCAGTAAATACGTTCCGTAACCGAGTCGAAATCTACGGCCACGATGTTGCGGCCATCGCGCACTAGAGACTGAATAATGTTTGGCTGTGCGAGGATGTCGTCTGATACAATCTGATTCCGACTGGCCACTAAGAGCAAGGCCTCTCGAGATCCTGTCAGATTGAGAAAGAAATAGAGAACAGAATGATGTAAAATATTATTATAATTTAAAATAACTTTTTACATTTAAGCTTTAAGCTATTTTAATATATTTTTAAGTGTAATTTATTCCCATGATGAATAATAAATATTTAAAATATTAAATTTGTATATATATATACACACGTATATTAGAGCTGTCAAACGATTAATCGCATCCAAAATAAAAGTTATTGTTTACATAATATATGTGTATACTGTGTATATTTATTATGTATATATAAACACATACATGTATATATTTAAGAAAAATGATTTCATTATCTTTCTGTCAGTTACATAACACATAAAAAATCTAAATAATTTAAATAATAAAATATTTCAAATAACATTTTAAAAATGTAAGCGTTAATAATCAAAATAAATAAATAAATAAAGTCTTCGATACTAAGAAATAACACAAATGAAAGTATGAGAATTATGAAGTGACCAAAATGTTAAACAACACACTTGATGCTTTTCATTCACTGTCCAATCAAATTCATTCAATCTAATAAAAAATTAAACAAATTATTTTTCAAACTAAAAAAATGAATACAATTTTTGTTTTGCAATGAAATTCATAAGAATGCACAATTTCTATTTGCATACAAAACTCCAATTCCAATCATTCAAGCATAATCCTTTAAATCAAAAGGCTTTCACAATGATGAGAAACATAATTCAGTCAAGTGTGTCCAACTTTTGACTGGCAGTCAGTGTTTTGTGCTTCATATTTGGATCGCAATATGTGATTATAATTTAAAGTACACCGTTATCTCAAAACATATCAAATAACCCTGACAGGACTAGAAATGAATCCAAATACGCATCAGCTCTCAGTTATAAAACTATGCAAGACCTATCTGACATGGCCAAATAGAAGGTTAAAAAAGAGTCCCGTTGAAAAGCAACATTCAGAAAGAAGATGAGGTATATCGGATGACAGCATTTTTCAACAGCTTATCTCGACGGAATGGGCTCTTGTCAGTGGCAGAGCTCATAAACAACCCTTTGTTTGGTGATTACCACCTAATTACCCCCATAAGAAAGTTTGTGACTGACATTATGTTATTTGTCTTATCTGTGGTAATCCGAGAGGCTACACTAGACCCCGCTAAGCAGGTCCAGTTGGCCTCCGGAGTCCGACCGTGGCTCCACTCCACTAAGATCTGTCTTAGCACTGTCAGAGATCACAAAGCTCAGAGGAGACACACAAACCTGAGGCCTTGCAGGTGCGTCCGTCTGCCTCTAGAGTGTATCCATCCTGACAATGGCAGCGGAAGGAGCCTCTCTCGTTGAAGCAGTGCTGACTACAGACGCCCGGAGGATGGCATTCATCGATGTCCTCGCACGTCTTTGAGTCGTTACTCAGCTGGAAGCCCATAGGACACGTGCACTGGGCTCCAAACGGGCCCTGAATGCAGCCGTGAGTGCAGCCCGCATTGTTATCCGAGCAGCTCTCCTGATCTATGAGGAAGCAGAAAAGTTCAGATGAATGACAATGTGAAGAAAAAGCACAAGTTATTCTGTGAACATGCTGAGCACAACCATTAAAGGGGATGCTTATAGGGCTGAGCAATATACAAAAAATCTGTATATTTCTATATTTACTATAAAAATGCATAAAGTTTTTTTTTCTTTTCATTCAAATGAACCATTTTTGTGACCAAAGAGCCATTTTAATACATTTAAAAAGTTTGATGCAAGACAGGGTTATTATATTTAACTAAAACCATAAAAAAAGAAAAAAAAGAATTTTTTTATTAAATAAATAAAATATTTAAAAAACATATTTTATTTCCACTAGTTGCCAAGGAAATATTTCTCATTTTCATTTAGTTTAACTAAAATAACTAAATTTAAAACTGAAATAAAAATGAATAAAAACTACATAGAGGTATAAAAAAACTTATAAAAATGAAAAAAAAAAAACTTAAAAATTAAAATTAAAACGTACATTATAAAAATAAAATAATTAAAACTATTAGTAAAAACTATAATAGTATCTCAGTGATGCTACAATTACACTGATGCAAAAAGTAAAAAACAGTAAAAATTATAGTTAAAAATAACCAAGGGAAGTTTTTCACTAAAATCATTCACACTATTAATAAAAACTATAATAGTATCTCACCGATGCTACAATAACACTGATGCAAAAAGTAAAATTATAGTTAAAAATGACCAAGAAATATTTTCCACTGTTTTCCACTGCAAAAACAGCAATATTTATCTACATATAGTTATATTAAAATATTTTAATATACAAAAAAATGCCACATGGACACATGAATCAGTGAATCGGTTCGTCTGTTAGAAAAGGAATCAAAATTACAAACTCTAAAGTAATTTTTGTTACTAAAGTTAAAATAAGAGTTGCAAAACAAAAAGGATTTGCAAAACTAATTGAATGACACTGTCTTTTAAGGAAATGTAATGTTCAAAAAAGTGCTTTAAATTTTTTATTAAAATAAACCATTTTGTGACCTAACAGCCATTTGTGCCAATTAAATTCAAAATGCGTAATGCATGTAAAATACAGTAAAAATAATAAGTTAAAAGTAAGGCATATTTTCCACAGTTCTTCACTAAATGAACAATGAATGAAGAATAATATAAAAAAAATTGTTAACATATTTTCATGCACCATCTACATTAATTTATATTAAAGCATTTTAATATAGAAAAATGCCACATGAACAGTTCTGTGAACATTACAGATGATGCAAACTAATCAGTGGCTATGTTTACATGCACAATTTTTGGTTCAATCGTGCTGAATTCATTCCGATTGATGAATCTGAACGTAGTGTTTACATGAGCGCTCGGGTTGATGTGCGCGTTTATATGATTTGAGAGGTTGTCCTGCTCCACTTCACAGTTGCCGAGTGAAAGGAGAGTTTTATAATGACAGGACACGCATTTATACAACACTTTATTCAACAGGAAGAACCGCTCGTTCCGCGCGTCATTCTCTATTTCTGCATCATTGCACATGTGCAGTTCTTTCAGTTTCGGGAGTGTTTACATGCACTCTCAATCGTATTAGAAACAGAATAAATCACCCCCTTCAATCCGATCGAAATGAAATTTCGATCGAGCTCAATCGGATCGATTAAGGTGTTTACATGAAGGCTTTTCAGTCCGATTGAGCCGTCAATCCGATTTCAAACGGATTATTTGGTCTGGGTTATGTAAACGTAGCCATTGAATCGGTTTGGCTGTTGGAAAATAAGTCAAACTAACCTACTCTAATGTCGTTTTTGCTACTAAAGTTTAAATAAACAAAAAAGGATTGGCAAACCCAATCTAATGTCACTGTCCTCAAGAAAACTCAATGTCCCAAAAAAGGCATTAAAATCATCATAATATTCATGATGTTGCTTAATTTCCAAAATCATTATGAATATATTATGAATATTCAATATATTGCCCAGCCCTAATGTTTACTGTTAAAATCTAAGCTACTTTGGTGGTTGTGTACCATTTCTATGGACTAACACTAGAGGTCGACCGATATTGTTTTTTTGACAGCCGATGCCGATATCTTGGAATGCAGGGTGGCCGATGGCTGATATAAAGCCAATATAATTTTATTTATTTTAATTGATGTTTAAGAAATTTTAAATCATTTGAAAATGGATTAAAAAGTAAATGTTACATAAGCATACTTATACTTTAGATGACAAAGTATTTTTCACAAATAAATAAATATTTAATAAAAAATATAATAAAAAAGGAAGTAAACACTGTAACCAACAGGGCACTCAGTATTCTGGAAAGTTTGTGTGCATTGGGATTTGGGAATCATATTTTTTCAAATAAAGCCAAGGTAACACTCATTTTACATACAGCACACAGTGGAAATGACATGAATATGGCAGTGGGCAAATGCATAAAGCGCAGCATAATTTGAAATCACGAGTTTAAAGTTTGTCGATCGCGCGTCTCCAGTGAAGCTGAACTCTCCACCTGTCCATTCCATTCGCACGGACCGACCGTCACGCAGAGAGATGCCGCTGTCAGCGCCGTCAAAATAAAATTCTGTCTCGTCATCAAAATAAAAGTCCCGCCTCGAACGCATCGGCCAAACAGGAAAACTTATCGGCCGATGCTGATATTTAAAAAATGCCAAATATCGGCCGATATATCGGCCTTGGCGATATATCGGTCGACCACTAACTAACACATGTAATTTTTTTCAAAAACAGTACTACAAACTACATCTCTAAGTGTCTATAATGCTAAACACACAAAATCTTGCCATATTTAGACACTCTGGACGGTTAGTGAGTACAGCCAGACAGATACTGGGATAGATTAGTGCTTCATGCAGAGGATTGTGGGTGATTAGGGATTTAGCCTACCTGGTAAGGGCTCATCTGTGAGAGGGGAGAGCAACATGGAAGGAAAATCACAGATCATTGCAATGTTAATTTCCAGATTAGCTAAACACATGCATGATTTGATGACACATGGGATTTATAACACAGACGACACACTGAAATATTCCATGTATTGAAATCAACCGACTGACCACATGGATTGTCATTTAATGGTTTCAATATCAACAGAAATATTAAAGATTTTAATGCAAACGAATGTTCTGACTTAAGTCTGATGATACACGGGGCAACATTCTGAGCAATGTTGCTGGGCAACTTTGGCTACTGTTGCCATCAACGGGCAACCAGGTGAGACACAGGGCCCCGACCGATCTAAAGTATCCAGATAGAAATTTGTTACCCATTCTCAATGGGAAAGTGCCCAAGAAACATAGCTCAAAAAAAGTTGCCCTGCAAAATTGCTCAAAAAGTTGCCCCGTGTATCATCAGCCTTAACGCAAGATAAGCTCCAACAACAGTTTGTGACATGAATGTGGGTAACCAAACAGCTGCTGGACCCCATTGATTTCCATAGTATGGACAAAAAATAAAAATAAAAATAGAAGTTAATGGGCACCATAAACGGTTGGGTTACCCACATTCTTCAAAATGTCTTCTTTTACGTTCAACAGAAGAAAGTAACTCATACAGGTTTGAAACAACTTGAGGGTGAGTAAATGATGACAGAGTTTTCATTTTTGGGTGAACTATCCCTTTAAGAATGTTTACCCATATAGACCAATTATAGGTTTGTAAACATTCAGGATGCGCGCGCATCATGGTTGCAGAAAACCCGGGAGAGATAGCCTTTACGGCTAGAGAATTTCACGGATACGGTACAAAATAGTTAGGTTTAAAAAGATTATAAATTATATTGATTAGATGTAGCTCATTAGGTTTAAGAACAAAGCCAAGATTTTCATTAGGGAGCTAATAGCTAAAGGCTAACCATCAACTTCTAATCTTAACAAAAACTAGTCAATATCTTATACTTTATTTATAAAGTTTATACACCATTCAAATACCATTAAAAATGAATACTTTTATTCTGCAAGGATAGATTTAATTGATCAAAAGCAACAGTAAAGACACTTATAATGTTGCCAAAGATTTCTATTTCAAATAAAAGTTGTTATATTCATAAAAAAAATGTTTCCACAAAAATATTAAGCAGTACAACTGTTTTTAACACTGATAATAATAAGAAATGTTTCTTGAGCAGCAAATCAGTATATTAGAATGATTTCTGAAGGATCATGTGACACTGAAGACTGGAGTAATGATGCTGAAAAGTCAGCTTTGATCACAGGAATAAATTACATTTTAAAAGATATTCAAATAGAAAACAGTTATTTGAAATTGTAAAAAAATTCACAATATTCCTGTATTTTTGATCAAATAAATGCAGCCTTGGTGTGCAAAAGAGACTTCTTTCAAAATCATAAAAAAATAATACCGACCCCAAACGTTTTGCAGAATGGTGTATATGTATTACGTACTGCTGTAAATCTCAGTAAAACATATGGCATGACTTACTGCAGAGAGGGGATTCATCGGCGCCGTTGGGACAGTCTGGCGTGTTGTCGCACACCCTGCTGAGGTTAACACACACACTGTGTCCAGGGCACTGCCACTGCCAGCTGGGACAGCGGAATGGCGGCGTGGGACAGTCTCGCTCATCGCTGCCATCTCGACAGTCATTATCACCGTCACAAATCCAGCCACGGAAAACACAGTTCCCATTATCACAGCGGAACTGCGAGGTGGGGCACGTCCGCGGTGGGCACGCGTGGTGTTCGTCTGAGCCATCTTCACAGTCTGGGTGCCCGTCACATTCCCAGTTCACAGGAACACAACTGCCGTCTGACTGGCACTGAAACTCACTCTCGTGGTGACACATGCCGGGCGGCCTAGTGGCTGGAAGGGTCGAAGGTCATGCTAGCTTAATATAAGATACATCATAATACAAGTTTCCTGAGGTTTATAATAAATGAGGATGAATCAAGAACATGTCTAGGTCATGTTTCACCCCAAAATCAAAATAATAATAATGTTTTTTTTTATAATGATCAAATTGAACTATATAAAATAATATTTTTTCTTTAAAAAAAAAATGAAAGTTTTTTTGTAGGATCTTTAGAAATTTTTTTTTTCAAAATTATTTTCATAACAATTAAGCCCTAATTTTAATTACTGTAATGCAAAACATTTCACATTCTTAGTACTGTAGTGTAAATAAATGCAATAAGAATTATAATCTTATTTTAAAATAATGCATTTATGAAGTATTTGTTGTACCACCTTTATTGTAAATAAAAAATGCTAATTTCAATTTCTTTTTAAATCATTGTTACAGTACTTGTTTTATACAGTTTTAAACAATTATAACAATGTAAATTTTATATGAATCACCATTGAGAATAATGGGAATTACACAACTATGTTTATGTAGGATCTTTAGAATTTTTTTTTTTCAAAATTATTTTCATAACAATTAAGCACATTGCGCCCTAATTTTAATTACTGTAATGCAAAACATTTCACATTCTTAGTACTGTAGTGTAAATAAATGCAATAAGAATTATAATCTTATTTTAAAATAATGCATTTATGAAGTATTTGTTGTACCACCTTTATTGTAAATAAAAAATGCTAATTTCAATTTCTTTTTAAATCATTGTTACAGTACTTGTTTTATACAGTTTTAAACAATTATAACAATGTAAATTTTATATGAATCACCATTGAGAATAATGGGAATTACACAACTATGTTTATAAAATTAAAAATATATATAATTATAAAAAACTAAACATCCAAAATAATGTCAAAATGCAAAATAATAATAATAATTATTATTATTATTTTCTTAAAATATGCAGTCTTTTCCCTCCATTTATAATTTTTATCTTTCGATTCTAGGGTGAACAGTGACCTGGAAATGTTTTTGTGAGATTCACCCATTTACATACTGTATATGTAATGCAATTTCCTAAACAATTATCATGGTATTATTGAAGATGATCAGAACTGAAAGACAAATTGAAGATTTATTTGTTTATACTTACGACAACCAGATTCATCGGAGCGATCGTTACAGTCAAACACCCCGTCACATTGGTAGTAGGAGTTGACACACTGATGCCCATTTGCACACTTAAACTCATATGCTGTGCAGTTGTACACTGATGATCAGAAGAACAAGAATCACTCAGATCAAGAACAAGTCAACAACAAAAAATCTGTTTGATCTGATTTGAACTTCCATAAGAGATTTTTTTTAATACCGTTTATATTGTGAAAGACACATTTTTGTCTTTATGTTGAAAAACTTTGTGAAGAATTTAAATGGTATTACCACATTTTTAATATATAAACCATTTTTATATAAACAATATGTACCGTTATGATGAAATGCAACAAAAGAGTTTGGTCCTGCATATAATGGACTCTTACCACAGCCCTGTTCATCCGCTCCATCTGCACAATCTCTGTCTCCATCACACACGTAATTGGGGTCAATGCAGCGATGGTCCGGACACTGGAACTGACCAGGGTGGCATGTGCCAATAGAATCTAGAAAAAGAGACATCACAAAAAAAGTTCGATGCTCAGAAGATTAATGATACTTAATGGCATTCTCAGTTATGTTTCATTCAGATGTTTCACAAGAATATAAAGTTGAACAGCACAGAGCTCAGATCATTTGGTTAGAACAGAATTTCTGTTGAGAAATATTTTAGATCATTTTGAGACCTCTGACTATTTTAAATAAATGTAAAGCATGCAGTCACAGGTGTCTGTTTAATGCCATTTTACTTATATTGCCTATATTGTATTTTGTATATTATTTATATATTTGAAAATTCTCAATGAATTTATAGACACTTCGATCAACAGTGCCCAAGGTGTTAATTTAGTATCACTGATATACTATTATAGTTTTTGATAATACTTTAATTGTATTTTTATATTTTCTGTTTTCAAAGATTTAATAGTTTTGTTGTGTTTTTGTCATTTTTATTATAATTTTTTAAAATATGTCTATGGGTCAAAGACATTAAGATGTCCGCATCAAAAGAAATATACAAAAGTGATTTTATGTCCATAGAAAGCACATTAAATGCAAGTAAAGTGTCTACTTTTAAGGTTTCAAATAAGTTTTTGGAGAATAAAATGTCCAAATTTGGTTGAAATAATGTTACATTGTCATTCAGTGTAACACAATATTTATGTAAAAATTCAAACAACATGAAATATATAAAAGAATAAGGGAGCATATTAAATTTGATTGTGTTTTAAATGAGTAAAAAATTCTGACTGACAAATGGGCAAAACCTAGGATTGTGGCAAATTTAAAAAATGTAAAATTACAACTAATTAGTATTTGGGGTGAAAGTAATTAGTCTTTTCATATGTCATAAATTGATTTTTGTTGTAAATATGCCTGACAAGATTGTTACACTGAATGACATTTACACTTATTGTTTTTATGCTTAAACACTTTTTCATCTTTGACCCCTATATATTTCAATGATACTAATATTTTATTTTATTTTATATTTTATATATAATTTTTTAATTCATTTTAGTTCATTTAGTTTTAGTTATATTAGTACTTCAATTTATGAAGCTAAGCGAAAATAAGAAAAGTTGCCTTTGCAACAAGCAGAAATAAAGTAAGCTTCATTTTTTCAATTTAATTTGATTTCAGATCAAGTTTATTCTATGTCAAGTAATGAAAATGTTTTTTTTTTATGGTTATGGTTTCAGCTAACTATAATATCCCTGGGTCTCACCGCAGTTGTTCTCATCGGATCCGTCTCCGCAGTCATTGTCGGTGTCACAGAGCCATGTGCGGGGGATGCAGTGATGGTTGGCGCAGCTGAACTGGTCAGCCTGGCAAGTGCCGGGGGTCTGGGTGGGACACTCCCTCTCGTCACTACCATCAAAACAGTCATTGTGTCCGTCGCAGTGCCAGCTTCTGGGCACACAGCGCTGATTGGCACAGGTGAAGGCAATGGGCGAGCATGTGTTATCTGTGAGCCAGCAGAGTGAGGAAAAAATGAACTCATTTTATTTTCATAAACGTGAAAATAAATCACTCTTCAAGTGATAAAACCTTTAAAAATCTCATTAAAACATCAAAAATCTCATAGAAATGCCTGCATTCTTTTAACTCAAAGAGTAGAGCATGGTGCTAGCAACGCCAAGATCATGGGTTTCGATTCTCTGAGAATGCATGACGCAATGTAACTGCATGATGTGAATGTAATTTGCTTTGGTTGAATTTATATTTATTGCCATCTTAGCTTCTCTAGTTTTAAGACATGTATGAAGTGTTTTGGTAGTTTTAGTGCAAAACACTTCATACACTACTCCTAAATGCAATGTAGAACTGCAACGATGTGTATCGTGAAAAGCACTATACAAATAAACATGAATTGAACTTAACTGAATTTTGGATGTTAAATTTACTGCTGTGCCAAGCTGAAAGTTGATAAGAGGAACTGTGTGAAGAGCTTTGGAAAAGTAACCTAATCAATGAAAACTGTGTCCTAGCGATTGCTCATTGCTACCTGCTTATCAGCACATGAATATTTGAATGAAATATAAACATAAAACATTACTATTAGCGCCGCAGTTGGCCTCGTCGCTGTTGTCATGACAGTCATCGACGCCGTCACATTGGTAGCTCTGGGGGACACACTTCCCGTTAGTGCATGAGAAGGAGTTGGAGCCACACTGGAGGGTCGGTGGCTCATTGGACGGATCATCCACACAAGTCTGCTGATTCGCTTCCAGCTTCATTCCATATGGACAGCCACACACTCGCTGGGAGTACGGCGCTGGGAAACAGAAATTACTGCAGTCTCCATTTGGGTTTGTTTGCCTGTTGCAGAAGTTAGATCCTGTTGGGGGTAAAAAGCAATGCGCATTGATCATTCAACTATATTGCAACCACATTTGATACATTTGGATAAATAGCCCTAATACCTTTGTGGAGACATTACATTCAATGCCAAATTGAGTAAATTAATCAATAGAAAGTGAGCCTCACCAATCTGAGAATCAGCATTGAAGGATTTGACATGCATGATGTGGCTGATCCCTCGACGAATGATCATCATCTCCCCTCCGTCTGTTTTACGGACCCTCACGATTCCACCCAGCCGCCAGTCGGTGAAGTACACATAACCTGGACCAGCAAACTTCATTAATGTAATCAAACAGGTCATCTCTGAGAAATACCAGTCCATGAACTCTGACTTCTGCCCTTTTATCTTTCAGTACCGCACAGACGAACTACACTGAAGTTTAAGAAAGCCGTGTAGTGACCCTCATTTCACAGATACCAGACGTGACTATCCATCATCAAAGAAGAGGCCATCGAGACTAACATGATTAGGATGACATTGAGATGATGACAGACATCGATGAACAGCAAAATTAACATTTCGTCAGTCAGTGGGTTTAAATTAGACTGCTTTCTAAAAGTCAGCCACATCTCAGTGTAGATAGATATACAGATACAACAGATACAGAATGATACAACAATTGACAGACAGACAGGAAGAATGATACACTGGTAGATAGATAGAATGATAGATAGAACGACAGAACGATAGATAGATAGATAGATAGATAGATAGATAGATCGAGCGATTGAACGATAGATAGATAGAGCGATAGAGTGATTGAACGATAGATAGATAGAGCGATAGAGCGATTGAACGATAGATAGATAGATAGATAGAGCGATTGAACGATAGATAGATAGATAGATAGATATAGATAGATAGATATAGATAGACAGAGCGATTGAACGATAGACAGACAGACAGACAGACAGACAGACAGACAGACAGATAGATAGATAGATAGACAGATAGATAGAGCGATTGAACGATAGATAGATAGAGCGATAGAGCGACTGAACGATAGATAGATAGATAGATAGATAGATAGATAGATAGAGCGATTGAACGATAGATAGAGCGATAGAGCGATTGAACGATAGATAGATAGATAGATAGAGCGATTTAACGATAGACAGACAGACAGACAGACAGACAGACAGATAGATAGATAGATAGATAGAGCGATTGAACGATAGATAGATAGATAGAGCGATTGAAAGATAGATACAGAGCGATAGAGCGATTGAACGATAGATAGATAGACAGAGCGATTGAACGATAGACAGACAGACAGACAGACAGACAGACAGATAGATAGATAGATAGATAGATAGATAGATAGAGCGATAGAGCGATTCAACGAGAGATAGATAGATCGATAGAGCGATTGAACGATAGATAGATAGATAGATAGATAGATAGATAGAGAGAGTGAACGATAGATAGATAGATAGATAGAGCGATTGAACGATAGATAGAGCGATAGAGCGATTGAACGATAGATAGATAGATAGAGCGATTGAACGATAGATAGAGCGATAGAGCGATTGAACGATAGATAGAGCGATAGAGCGATTGAACGATAGATAGAGCGATAGAGCGATTGAACGATAGATAGAGCGATAGAGCGATTGAACGATAGATAGAGCGATAGAGCGATTGAACGATAGATAGAGCGATAGAGCGATTGAACGATAGATAGAGCGATAGAGCGATTGAACGATAGATAGAGCGATAGAGCGATTGAACGATAGATAGAGCGATAGAGCGATTGAACGATAGATAGAGCGATAGAGCGATTGAACGATAGATAGAGCGATAGAGCGATTGAACGATAGATAGAGCGATAGAGCGATTGAACGATAGATAGAGCGATAGAGCGATTGAACGATAGATAGAGCGATAGAGCGATTGAACGATAGATAGAGCGATAGAGCGATTGAACGATAGATAGAGCGATAGAGCGATTGAACGATAGATAGATAGATAGAGCGATTGAACGACAGACAGACAGACAGACAGACAGATAGATAGATAGATAGATAGATAGATAGATAGATAGACACTGATAAACTCACCTCCAAAAATAGTAAGTCCAAACGGATGGGAGATCTGAGTGATGCGATTCAAAGACAACCTGTTTTGTCCATCAAAGTTGCTGTGCTCGATCTTATCAAAGAAGGCGTCCACCCAATACAGCCGCATGGCACTGAGAGGCAGAGACACGGTCAAGAGGAGAGCGTTTTAGACCAATGCTGAGAAACTTATGTCAGATCATGATTTAAGGAGATTAGGAGCGAACACGCTATTGAATGCGCAACAAAACCAATAATGATGAGTCACGGCTTTAGGAAGCCATCGAAGTTAAACCAAAGAATTATGAATTAAACAGGAATGGGTTATTGTTTGTGGTATTATGAGCACAACTGAATGCTGTATTGTTGTGGTTTCATTCTGGGAACTGTACAGTAACTCACCTCCAGTCAATGGCCAAGCCATTGGGCCAGCCGAGAGTGGTGTTTACAATCGACTGAGCATGTGACCCATCACCCCAGGCCCGCATAATCTTTGCAGGACGGTACCAGTCAGTCCAGAAAATATAACTGCCGAGCACAAAGACACACAAATGGCTTTAAAAGAAATAGTTCATTCAAAAATAAACATTCTGTCATCATTCATTCATACTCATGACAATTATTATTATTATTTTTTTTTATTTCCTCAGATGAACACAAGCTTCTTTACAAGCAATTATAATGAATGGCCACTAGAGCTTTTATGCTTCAAAAGGACGCAGTCACCTTAAATGTATATATACACTACCATTCAAAAGTTTGGGTTTGGTAAGATTATTTAAAATGTTTTTAAAAGAAGTCTCTTATGCTTACCAAGGCTGCATTTATTTGATCAAAAATACAGTAAAAAAAAAAGTAATATTGTGAAATATGATTAAAATTTAAAATGTTTTCTGTTTTAATATATTTTGAACTTTAATTCATTAATAATATTTTTCAGGATTCTTTGATGAATATAAAGTTCAAAAGAACAGCATTTATTTGAAAGAGAAATTGTTTGTTACACATTAATTGTATTAGCTGTCACTTTTTATTAATTTAATGTATCTTTGCTGAATAAAACTATTATTTTCTTCCAAAAAATACTTTTGAACAGTAGTGTGTATATATACAGTATATATATATATATATATATATATATATATATATACAAATGTCAGATTGCTCAAATTGTTCTTTTGTATTTCTTCAATTTCTGAAGTCTTCAGAAGCCATATGTACTACTTTTATAATATACCTTTCACTTTGGAGTTTGTCAGCCTCAGTCCTCATTCATTAAACTCAAGAGAGGTGACAAAAGTCAAACCGGTTTGGGACGGCATGTGGGTGAGGGAACAATGGCAAAATCACCACAAATCTTCACCCCGTGCCATCACCAAAACCATCCGCCGAGTTTTATTTATAAACTGTGAGGTATAGACAGTTTATCTGAGTGCTCTGTGGGGTTTTCCCCCGCTAAGCCAAGTTCTTAGTGTGCACTACAATAACAGCCTTCATGCAGCACTAATCTAGCCTCCTGGGCCCAGAGGCCTCATGACTTTGAAGCCATTGGAAATGTCCCACTAGCACGGCATAAAGAGCGCCTTTATCTGTGCCAGGTTCAAAGCAGGAGCAATCTATGAATGGCTGGGCACCTCCTGCATTATGAAAGGTGTGACTGGACACAAGTGGCCTGATTGTTAATGCTTTTTCATGGTCTTAGGGAAACAGAGAGGCGAGGTGAAAGCAAGGCTCCCCCAAGCTGTGTTTTTGGCGTATGGTCGCATGCTGAATTGTGTTTGTTGACATTTGAACGTGCCTGGGATTTCAAACCCATGGTCACAACCTTTTTTTTCCACAAAAGAGGAAGTTTGAGTGTGTTTATTTTGTGAATGCAATTTTTAGCCTACAATAACAAGGGTTCTGTTCCAAAATCTAGTAAGCTCCCTACATAGACATAATTTTATGGCTTCATAGTGAAAGCTTTCCAAAAGAAAGGCAGCATAATTATGTATCTCATAATGCAAGACAAATATTGATATATATATATAATTGATAAATATATAATTATTTATAAATATAATTCATTAAATAACAGTTCATATCATCAACTACAACTAAAACTATAATATAAAATAATAAAATAAAATAAAAACTAGATAAACTAGACTTTTATAAAAATGTAAAAACTTGAAATAAAAAAAAAATGAACAAAAATTAGAAGTGTTCCCTTGGCAACTAACCGAAATAAATAAGTATAAGTTGGTTTACTAAAATCATTAAAACTAAAAATTAACTAAGAAATAAATTAAAGCTACATAGTAATATATATAAAACAAAACAAAAGCACATATCACAATTACACACAATTACAAAAACAAAATAATTAATTATATTAATAAATACTAATAGTTAAAAAGTATTAATAAATAATTAATAGTTTATAAATAAAACTAAAATTACATTAAACAAGTATTGAAAAAAAGGAAACAATTAAAAAAACTCCAATAAAATTCATAATGTACCGTTTTATCTAATATTTGCATGTACTACGTATATTAATCTCTTCTTTAGCTTAGCAGCATGTTAATACCAAACTCTATTGAAAGTAATTAACAGAAGTCGAGTCTCATGTGCTTTGCATGTTATTTTTATGATGCACAGAGTTGCTGCCTATGTAGATCACTTCAAATTGGTCACTTATGAGGTTCCATTTCACTCGTCCTATAGAAGGTAGCTGTCTAATTAGGCAGAACACAGCAAGGTAGCTCACTAAGTTTTGGAACAGAGCCACAGTATTAACTACTTTTCTTTTATTATGTCTATAAAATAGCAATATCATAAAGAAGACCAGCCAGTAAAGGACTCACCCAGCCACCGGGTGGACCACTATGGATCTGGGGTTGTTGAGGTTTCGTACAATGGCTCGTCTGGACTTATCCGCGACCTTCATGACAGATATACTCCTGTAGCGTGGATCCGTCCAGTACAGGTTCTTCGATATCCAATCATAAGCGAGATCTTCCACACCATCCACCCGATTGGCTGCTAGTACCTCCCTGCCTGTGCAGTTTAAAGCAAAGAAACACAAAGATTAGAGCGCAGCCCACTCCTTGAACTTTTCAAAAAATCAGTTTTCACAAAAAATAAACTGTTTTCAATATTGATCATGACAATACATGTTTCTTAAGCAGCAAATAATCATATTAGAATGATTTCTGAAGCATCATGTGACACTGAAGACTGGA